GTGTGAGAGTGTGAGAGTGTGTACATTTATGTAAATGTTGTGGTCTTACATTTGTTCATCAGTTGTTGGCATTGCTGGTCGTTATTGCTCATCCCAAGTTATCCCTTCAGAAAGTGGTGCTGACCTGCCTGCTCAAACCAGGGCGTGGTGTTCCCATGTATCTGCTGCCCCTTGTCCTTCTGGATGGAAGGGGTCGTGGGTTTGGAAGGTGCTGTCTGAGGATCTTTGGTGAATTTCTGCGGCGCATCTTGTAGATGGTACACACTGCTGTGACTGAGCGTCGGTGGTGGAGGGAGTGGGATGTTTGTGGATGTGGCGCCAATCAAGTGGGGGCTGCTTTGTCCTGGATGAGGTCGAGCTTCTTGAGTGTTGTTGGAGCTGCATCCATCCAGGGCAAGTGGGGAGTATTCCCTCACACTCCTGACTTGTAGATGGTGGGACAGGCTTTGGGGAGTCAGGAGGTGAGTTACTTGCTAAAATATTCCCATCCTCTGAGCCTTGTAGCCACTGTGTTTATGTAGTGAGTCCAGTTGAGAGTCTGGTTAATGGTAACCCCCAGGATGTTGATGGGGACTTTGGAGTCTGGAGCTATGGATACTGATGGTTGAGGCTCTTTCTCTCCAGCACATGAGCCATCCCACACTGATTAAGATAATGGTCCTGACAAATTGAGACTGGTGACAGACTCCCCATTAGATTGTGCATTCAGGACCCCAAAAATCTCTTTCTTGCCTCGGAGGGACAATCCTGGCTGCAGGATTTCCGTGGGAAGGTGGGGAGCCATGAATGCCCTTTCAAAATGGCTTTCTCTAAAGATCTTCATTGATTGCATTCAGCATGAGATGGTGTTAATTGTCCGTACGGAGACAGTAAGCTGGAAGCTGGAGTCAATAAATGCGGAGCTGGAAAGGCACAGCAGGGTCAGATAGTAGCTGAGGAGCAGGAAAGTCAACATTTTGGCCTCGGATGCTCCTCAGATGCTGCCTGACCAGGTGTGCCTTTCCAGCTCCATGTTAATCATCCACGTGTTGGGTTCTCCCTCTGCCTTGTTGTGGCTGTATGAAGCAAGGGCCCAGGGGAGGAGGACAGAGACAAGAAGCAGGCTGTAACTCACCGAACGTCAGGGTAGCTGTCCACCAAAGCCCCAACTTCCACCTGGATGGAGGAAGTATCCTTCAGGGAGATAATCTCAGCCAGGTGACCAATGGCAGGATTCAGCCAGGATGCATTGGAATCCTGAGGGAAAGGAAGGGGACAGCGTTGAGGAACAATTAGTACCACAGAAGAGGGAATGAAGCCTTGAGTCCATTACTGTCAGCGGTGGGCCCAGTGATCTCAAGCCATTGGTACGTATTGAGCTGGGCAGCTCCAGCCAAATTTTGTCTAAATTCATATGCAGGATATGAGTGCTGTCCATCTAGGTTCACCAACAATGGGCCAAATGGCCTGTTCCTGTTCAATAACATTCCTGCGATGCTAGCAACTGGGTAGGCAATAGCCTAGTGGCATTGTTAGTAGACTGTTAACCCAGAGACACATGGTAATGTTCCAGGGACCTGGGTTTGAATCCCACCAAAGCAGATAGTGGAATTTGAATTCACCAAGGAAAAGAAAATCTGGAATTTGTAATCTAACAACCATGACTCCACTGTTGATTGTCATAAAATCCCATCTGGTTCACTAATATCCTTAATGGAAGGAAACTGCCATCCTTAACTGGTCTGGGCCTACATGTGACTCCAGACCCACAGCAATGTGTTTGGCTCTTAACTGCCCTCTGGGCAATTAGGGATGGGTAATAAACGCTGGCCTAGCCAACAACATTAAAAAAAATGCTAAGAAGTAGTTAAAAACTCAGTGAAACTGCTGATAAATCTTAGTTATAATCATAGATAACATGGTGTGGAGCTGGAGGAACACAGCGGGCCAGGCAGCAGCAGAAGAGCGGGAAAGTTGACGTTTTGGGTCGGGATCTTTCTTCAGCCCATTTCTGAAGAAGGGTCCCGACCCGAAACGTCAGCCCTCCTGCCCCTCTGATGCTGCCTGGCCTGCTGCGTTCTTCCAGCTCCTCACTGTATTGTCTCTGACTCCAGCATCTGCAGGTTTTGCTATCACTTAGTTATGATCATCCCAATTTCAGCCAAAACAGGTTCGTTTTATTCACTCATGGGATTAGGGTGTTACTGCTTCGGTCAGCATTTTTTGCCCCAGAGGGCAGTTAAGAATCAACATTGCTGTGGGTCTGGAGTCACCTGTAGGCCAGACCGGGTAAGGATGTCAGATTCCTTTCCCTAAAGGACTTTAATGAACTAGATGGGTCAAAGGCATTAGGTTACCCTTTTTAATTCTAGATTGATTTCAAATTTCATCTTGGCAGGATTTGAACCCATGCCCCTAGTTCTGGATTGTTAGTTCAGTAACATTACCCCACTGCCTACCCAACACATGAATGATACCTGGACTTCAGGGGTTAAGTTATCAGGAGAGATTATTCAAATCAGGCCTGCTTTCTCTAGAACTGAGACGGTTAAGGGATGATCTGATCAAAGACTTCAAGATAATAACAGGGAAAGACAGCGAAGGTAAAGATAAACTATTTCCACTGATTGGGGATTCTAGAGCTAAGAGCATCATCTGAGAATTAGGGTCAAACCACTCAGGAGAGATGTTAGGAAGCACTTCTATACACACAGGCTAGAAGAGGTTTGAAACCTATCTTTCACAAATGGCATTGGATCAGTTGTTAATTTTAAATCTGTAACAGATAAATTTTGCTTAAGCAGAGGTATTAAGGGATATGGGCCAAAGGCTGGTGTAAGGAGTTAGGCCACAGATCAACCATGAATAATGAAACGGATTTGAGGGGCTGAATGATCTACTCTTCCTATGTCCCCAAACTTTCCCAACCTCTTTCTCCCTCTGACTCGCATTCCATGTCATTTCAATTCTTTATCCTATCTCACTGTTTGTGTCTGTCTCTGCCTTTCTCCGAACGTGTGTGGCCTGCGAAAGTCGAGTCTGAGTGGGAGTGAGCAATGGAGACCAATCAATCCCATAAGCCATTGGTGTAGTGACAAGCCTCTATTAGAATCACAGGGGCTGTCGTTTTCTGGGCCTGCTCATGTTGATACAAAAGCAAAAATACTGCAGGTGTTGGGAATCTGAGATCTGCACAGAACCTGCTGGAGGAACTCCACAGTTCGGAGAAGCTTCCATAAAGAGGAACAAAGTTAATGCTTTAGATCAATGGTCTTTTCTCAGACTTTCTGAACCTTGGGCTGTTTGTGATGGTTGCTACCAAGATTTATCGTCAATGTTACCATGTATTTAGTGATTCTTTACCACTGTCATTGCCTCCCACGAAAGGAGCCACAGAAAGAGGCCATTCGGCCCATTCTGTTAGTGCCAGCTGAATTAACCAACTGCCTTGTCTACACCACCTTCTAGCACCTGGTCCATACCCTTGCAGCTTACTGCCCTTCAGGGGCAGATCCAGATTCCTCCTCAATGGGTTTCCATCTCAACCACCAAGCTGGGTTTACAGGGATGTTGCCAGGGTTGGAGGGTTTGAGATACAGGGAGAGGCTGAAAAAGCTGGAGCTATTTTCCCTGGAGTGTCGGGGGCTGAGGGGTGACCTCATAGAGGTTGCAGCGCAGAAAGAGGCCATTCTACCCATCGAGTCCATACTGCCCCTCTGAAGAGCATCTCACCCACACCTCACCCTGTAACCCATGGCTAACCCCCCGCACATCCCTGGACACTATGGGCTCCGTGACCCCCAACTGCAGCCTCCTCAATCTTTACTCATCGCTCTAATTTTCAAGCCCTGGTTCCATCCTTGTAAATCTCCTCTGTACTCTCTCCAGAGCAATGATGTCCTCCTTGTAATGTTCTGACTGGAGCAGTGTGCAGAATTCCAGCGTCTAACATACAGCCCCATCGTTTCTGAAGAAGGTTTTCTCACCAGGTTTTCGAACAGCTCCCTGAGCTCTGTAGACTCGTTATTCAGCCGTCCCGCAACTTTCACTCGCATATCTGCTGAATTGCAAACTATCCTCGTCTGCATCATGGCTCTCAAATACTCAATGACCACCTTTTTGTGAATACCATTCACCAAATCCTGGAGGGGAGGGGGAGAAAAAACACACCTTGATTTAGTTTGAAGCAGATTGATGCGTAAAGGACTCAAATCGCAGGCTAACTCAGCCTTGTGTTGATGATAATATGACTATAGCACCTTAGTGTGTGAGGGCTAGGGGGAGGCTATGGGACTGTAGGCAGACAATCTGTAGTTATTGGGATCATACCTACTGTATAGACTGGGATTGTGTGTTTCTGTAGATAGTGGAACTGTACACACTGGGACAGTATGCACTGGCACCCTACACAGTTTTGAGTTGCATGATTGTAGAGAATGCGGCCATACAGTAATGGGACAGCGTGTGTTGGGACTCTACAGAGTCTGTTCCTAAAGTAGTGACGCTGGGGCTGTAGACAGTATGTCTGTAAATAAGGAGACTGTATACACTGGGACTAAGTCAGATGTCACACGAAACCAGGTAGTCATCCAACAGGTTAATTTAACATCACAAGCTTTTGGAGCGCTGCTCCTTCGTCAGGCCCCAAGCAGCTAAGGCATGGCCTCCAACGGCCTGACAAAGGGGCAGTGCTCAGAAAGCGTGTGATTTTTAAAAAACCTGTTGGACTACAATCTGGTGTCGTGTGACATCTGACTTTGTCCGCCCCAGTGTAACCCGGCACCTCCACACGCAGTGAGACAGTACACAGCGCCGCTACACACACACACACACACACAG